CCCCGTGCTCCCCGTACGCCCCGTGCACCCCTCTCAGCGCCTCTCGCGCAGGCCTACAAGTCGTGGCTGCAGAGGAACGGCGAGGAGAAGCGCCTGCCCGCCCTGGGGCTCACCAACCACCAGCTCTTCTTCGTKGGCTTCGCGCAGGTACCGCCRGGCGCCTCCGAGACGCCAGCGCCGCCCCGTCCCTTCCCAGCTGCTCCTCCGCAGCTCCCTGTCCCGTTATCCCACTATCCTGCCGCTCCAGGAGCCTGGAGGAAAGGGCTACCCAGTCCCCTGGCTGCTCCCTGTAGGTCTGTCCCGTCCATTCCCAGCTGCTCCTCCGCAGCGCCCCGTCCCGTTATCCCACTATCCTGCTGCTCCAGAACTCCCAAGGAAACAGCCATTCGGGCCCCTGGCTGCCTCCAGCGGCGCCGTCCCCGTCCCTAAGGCCGCTCCGCTCCGGCAGGTGTGGTGCTCCGTCCGGACGCCCGAGAGCTCCCACGAGGGGCTGGTCACCGACCCGCACAGCCCGGACAAGTACCGCGTCATCGGCACCCTCAGCAACTCCCGGGACTTTGTGGAACATTTCGGCTGCCCCCTGGGCTCGCCCATGAACCCCGGCAAGCACTGTGAGGTGTGGTAGGGACCGCGGCCGCCCGCGGGGCCGCYGGGGACAGCGCGCGCCTGGACGGACCCCGCTAGGCCCGGCCGCCGCATCCCGCCGCGTCCCTCCATGCCAGCTGCTCCCCGCATCCGTCACCCGCTGCCCTGCTCAGGCGGCCACGCAGGGCATGGAGCAGAGCCGCTGAGAGCAGCGCCGCAGCCCCGATTCAGCACCCACAGACCCGACCTGGCACCCACAGACCCGACCTGGCACCCCGGCACTGACATGGCGCTCACAGCGCTGACCCAGCACCCACAGACCCAACCCCGCACCCACAGACCCGACCTGGCACCCACAGACCCGACCCGGCACCCCGGCACTGACCTGGCGCTCACAGCGCTGACCCAGCACCCACAGACCCAACCCGGCACCCACAGACCCGACCTGGCACCCTGGCACTGACCTGGCGCTCACAGCGCTGACCCAGCACCCACAGACCCAACCCGGCACCCACAGACCCGACCCGGCACCCACAGACCCGACCTGGCACCCCGGCACTGACCTGGCGCTCACAGCGCTGACCCAGCACCCACAGACCCGACCTGGCACCCACAGACCCGACCTGGCACCCACAGACCCGACCTGGCACCCCGGCACTGACCTGGCGCTCACAGCGCTGACCCGACGCCCCCAGCCCCAACCCTGCCCCCCCAGCCCCGACCGAGTGCCGCCAGCACCGACCCAGTGCTCCCAACACCGACCTGGTGCCCCCAACACCGAGCTGGTGCCCGCAGCCCCAGCCTGACGCCTCCAGCACCGACCCAGTGTCCCCAGCACCGACCCAGTGCCCCCAGCACTGACCTGGTGACCCCAGCACCGACCTGGTGCCCGCAGCCCCAACCCGGCGCCCCCAGCCCCACGTCCCCCCCGAGCCGGCAGGCTGGACGGGCAGCGCGAGGGCCGGGTCCCGCTCTGCTCCCGCTCTGCTCCCGCCGCCCCAGCCCGCTGCCTGGGGCTGGATGCGATCCCGGGCTGCCGGAGGTGCAGCGGCCGGGCTCGGAGCCGCCCGGCTCCGCTCTCAGCTCCGCGCCCTCCTAAACCRGCTTGGCTTCCCCATCCGTGTCCGCTGGGCCAGCGGCTGCCCGCGGGGACCGGTGCCTTCAGCTGTGGGCGGCTGYTGCTGACTTTATTTAATGATTAAAAGCAGTTTCCACTTAACGCGAGCGGCTCCGAGTCCTTCACGGTGCCGGGGCAGCACGGGGACCGAGGAGGGCACAAAGACAGCGATGGGGAAGCACGGGGTTAAGGGGGACGGGACCTGCCGGGGACAGGGCGGTCCCGGAGGAAGGCGGCAGCCCGGGGGCCAGGACAGGTGTGTGCGCCCCGCTCCGGCCCGGGCACTGCGGGGGTACCGGGCCCTGGACACCGGCACGGCGGCGCTGCTTGCGCTACCGGCCCCGCTGCGCGGGCGGACCGGGCCCGCCGCCGGCCATGGCCTCACGGCGCCCAGCGCGCAGGCGCGGGCACACACCGGGTCCGCGGGGCGCAAAGGCCGCTGGGAGTTGCAGTCCTGAGGGTGCCCGCTTCAGGAGACTCCCGGGCGGCTTGGCGCAAGGCCCGACGGGAATCGTAGTTCGATGCGGGGCGGCTGGCGCTGCCTCCGCGCGGAGCTGCACTGCATTTCCCAGCAGGCAGCGCGGCGCGGCCCAGGCGCCTCCGGCTGCGGGGGGCGCCGCGGCCGGCTCGCGGCCTGGCTGCTGGAGCCGAGCCCGGTGCGGGGCCCGAGCGGCGGCGGCGGGGCCCTCGGAGCCCCGGCGGCGCCGTCCCCGCCGCCATGGACACGCTGCCCTTCACGGCCGGGGAGCTGCTCTGCCTGGGCTCCAGCGTCGCCTTCTCGGGCCTCTTCTACTACCTGTACCGGCGGAAGGCGCGCGTGGCGGCGCGCATCCAGGTAGCGCGYGCCCTGCCTGCGGCCCACGGGCCCRCGGGCCCACGGGCGCGGCCTCCATCCGCACCGCGAGCCCCGTCGGCGCCCCCGGCCCCGCTCACACAGCCCTGCCCTTCCAGGAGGCCCCCAAGCTCCAGGTGGACGACGAGCTGCCCGCGCTCGTGGCTGCGGCCGACGGCAGGTGCCTGCCCTACGTGGCCCTGGAAGGTGAGCGCTCCCGAGGGCGCCCGCGCGGGGACCGGGGCTCTCCCGGCGCCGCTCTCACGCGTCCCTTGATCCGCAGGCATAGTGCTGCCAGCCAAGGCCACGCTGTCCAGCCACTACCACGAGGACATGCAGGGCGTCATCCAGAAGCTGCTTCTCAAGGAGCACCGGCTCATCTGGAACAGCCTGGCCCGCAGCTGGTGAGCGASGGGGTGGCCCCGCCGGGCCGGGCTCACAATGGGGCTCGCCCGCCCGCCCCGGGGCTCGTTGCGGGGCAGGAGGCAGCTCGGCGCTCGTCCCTGCCCTCGCTGCCGCCCCGCTAGCCGGTGGCTATGCCGGATCCTCAATGCTGCGCCCTGGGCCGCTTGCAGGAGCGAGAGCGAGCGGGTGCTCTCGGAGCAGGTCTACACCGTGCCCTTCCTGCTGGCCTCGGCGGAGGCYGGCGCGGCCACGCGGGTGAGCGTGGAGAGCCCGCTGCGCGCGGCGCGCCTGCCGCTCGAGACCGTGCACGAGCGCTTCGAGCCGCCGGCGCACGGCTTCCGCGCCCTGCTGGGCCACTACCTGAGCGGCGAGAAGCCCAAGGGCATCCTGGAGACGGAGGAGATGCTGCGCGTGGGCGCCGGGCTGACGGCCATCGGCGAGCTGGTGCTGCAGCCCGACGGCTCCCTGCACCTGCAGCCGCCGGCCCGCGGCGCCGACTATTTCCTGTGCCTGGGGGACTGGCAGGCGCTGCTGGCCGAGCTGGAGGCGAGCAGCGGGCTCTGGAAGGCGGCGGCGGCGCTCTGCGCGCTGGCCGGCGTGGCCGTGCTGCTGCTGGCGCTCTGCCGGGCCTACCGGCACGCGCGCCTGCGGGGCGGCGAGGCCAAGGAGGCCGGCGGCGAGGAGCGCGGCGGCGAGGAGCTCGGCGACGGCGCGCTCGAGGACGCCTGCGTGGTCTGCCTGGCGCGGCCCCGCGACTGCGTCCTGCTGGGCTGCGGCCACATCTGCTGCTGCTTCCGCTGCTTCCAGGCGCTGCCCGCCCGCCTCTGCCCCATCTGCCGCGGCCCCATCGAGCGCGTGGTGCCCCTGTACCAAGCGTGAGCGCCCGGAGCCAAGCGCCAGGCCTCACGAACCTCTGCTGGCCGCTCGCGTGCAGCTGTGCCCTTCCCTGGGGAAGCCCCCCTCACGTTTTTGGGTGGTCAGGGGTGTTCCYTACAAACCAGGGCAGGTTTATACCCCCCACTGTCCTCCCCGTTCCAGGGGGAGCCCCCGAACATCACTGCCTGGCGGGAAAGGTCGCTGCCTGGTGCCATCCCTATGGAGAAGCTCCCCGGTGCCCCCAGGGTGGTCCCTTGGGTGCGTAGCTGTTAGAGCCCTGTTTGCAGCACTGCCCCGAGGCAGGGACCCCTCCTCACGCAGGCGGGCGGGTGTTTGTCCTTGTTTTGCTTTCGCAGCGCGTGGCTTTGTGCCCAAACAAGTGGCGGGGCCGGGTACCCGCACTGGGCAGACACATCTGGGGAAGGGGGCAGGACACGGACCTGGCTGCGGCCCCGGGGGTTTCTACCCTTAATGGCTGTGGCGTTTGGGGGACGGAGCCCCCGTTTCAGGGAAGAGCTGAATTCTGCCTGTGCCGCCCGCTGCTCTGTCCCCCGGGCAGGGTGCGCAGCCGCGGCGGCTCCATCCCTCCGCCTGCAGCTCCCATCGCTACGTGAGGCAGGAGCACGGATACAGGGCAGCACAGAGACCCGCAGCCTCGCTGCGTCCCACATGAGCCAGGCCTAGAGCTCAGCACAGAGACCCGCAGCCTCGCTGCGTCCCACATGAGCCAGCCCTCGAGCTCAGCACAGGGACCTGCAGCCCTGCTGAGTGCCACATAAGCCAGCCCTCGAGCTCAGCAAGGGAACCTGCAGCCCTAGAGCTCAGCACAGGTACCCGCAGCCTCGCTGCGCCCCACATGAGCCAGGCCTAGAGCTCAGCACAGGTACCCGCAGCCTCGCTGCACCCAACATGAGCCAGGCCTAGAGCTCAGCACAGGGACCTGCAGCCCTGCTGAGTGCCACATAAGCCAGCCCTCGAGCTCAGCAAGGGAACCCGCAGCCCTAGAGCTCAGCACAGACACCCGCAGCCTTGCTGCACCCAACATGAGCCAGGCCTAGAGCTCAGCATGGAGACCCATAGCCTCACTGGGCCCCACGTGAGCCAGCCCTAGAGCTCAGCACAGGCACCTGCAGCCCCACTGAGCCCCACACGTGCCAGCCCTAGAGCTCAGCTTTCCTGCCCCGTCCCGTGCAGGGTCCGTGCGAGCGCCACTTGCTGCTGCTTGTGGATTGATAAAGCCAAGGAGTGGAGCGGAGCCTGGTGCCTTTCTTGGGGTCATTAAAAGGGGGGGACTGGGGCCCCATTGACACTGGGGGAGCAGAGGAGCCCGCCGGGAAGGGAGGCAGGGCTGGTGGGTGCCCCGTCCCACGGCAGCGGCWGCAGCCCAAAGCTCGCAGCCCCGGGAGGAGGCAGCGCTGGGGRCGGGGGCAGCCGCCCGGGACCACCCGCTCCCTGCGGAGCCGGGACACAAGGGCTGGCGTGTCCACACTGGGATGAGCAGGGGGTGCCGGCACCCAGGACCCTTCCCCAGCCACCAGGGTTGTCACCGTGCGCGGGATGCGGCGGTGGGGGGGCATTGCCATGGCAACTGTGCTCTCCCTGTCTCCATGGCGACGGCTCCCCTGGACTGCTCCCCTTCACTGCCTGCCCGCGGTTGCCTGGGCAACGCTCCAGCTCCGGGGCACCCGGAGCTGGGATGAGGGCAGCGCTGGGCAGTCGCGGGAGCCAGAGCCTGCACGGGGACCCCCCTGTTCCCCCCCAGGAGCGGGCTGGGAGCGAGCAGCGGGCGCGCTCCCCTCCGGAGCCCCGGCATCCCCCCCGCCCGGGGAGGCATTTCGGGAAGGAGATAAATACCAGATGGGAGAGGGCCGGGCTGCCGGGAACACATTCCCCGCGTGCCAAGAGCAGTTGGCGCGAGTGGGCGCGTGGGCCGGCGAGGGCAGGAGGCACCCGCGCTCCCGGAGACTGCTCCGCTCGTTCCCCGGCGCGTGGCTCGTGGCCAGGGCCCTTCTCCGCCCGCGGGTGCGGGAGCAGGGAGCGCATCCCGCGCGCGGGAGCCGCGCTGTGCCTGGAGGCGCCCAGCGGGACACAGCTCGCCGTGCAGCCCTGGCGTGTCCCGCAGTGACCGCCCTGCCCCGAGGCGGCCCCGGCGCAGCCTCCCGGGGCCGCGGCAGCGCCTGGCACCGCTCCGGGCCCCCGCATGACTCAACCGCCGGGCACGGGCCCGGCCGCGCGGTGCCAGAGCGCCGGGCGCACGGCCCGCGGCGGCACCCGCYGCTGTCCCCCGCGTGTCCCCAGCCGTGGGGCAGGACGGGGGGCACCCCGCGGGTGCCGGGTCCCCGGTGGTGGCTCCGTCTGTCGCCATGGTGACGGCAGCGGTGGCAGAGCAGCGCGGCGGTGACGCCGGTCCCCGCACGGCCCCGGTGTCCCCCCGCAACAGCCGGGACCGCAGCTCCGCCCGGGCCTCCCTGCCCGGCACGGGGACGCTGCCATCACCATCCGCTGGCCGGCGGCGCCCGGGGGAGCCCCATTCCCAGCCGGGAGCGGGCTGAGGCCGACGCGCTCATTCCACCAGTGACGCTGCCCTCCCGTCTTCACCCGTCACCGGCTCCCCCGGCCCTCGCCCACCAACACCCGCAAGCGCTGCGGGAGCCAGCGGCTCCAGCCCCCGCGGGCACCGCGCCGTGTCCCTGTCGGAACCGCTCGGCTGCAGGGAGCCGCCCGGAAGCAGCGAGGCAGGGAAGCATCCCGCCTGGACGGCCGCATCCCGCCTGGAGGGCCCTGCCCTTGCGGGCGACCTTCTCCCGTGCACGCACCTGGACACGGAGGAGCCGGCGGCAGGGAGACGGTGCCGACCGGGAGCCCCGGGCCMCGGCAGCCACCGGCGCGGAGCACAAGTGCCATTTCATGTTTCTTGGCAGGGCTGGGAGCTGAGCAGATGGAAGAGCTGGAGCTGGGGAAAGGCGCTCCAGAGGTGCCTCTGCAGCCCCCCACGCACCCCAGTGCGCAGCCCGGCCGCCCTGCTCTGCCCCAGGGCACCGCTGGAGAAGCGGCCCCGGTGGGGCCGGCTGCACAACCGACGTGCTGGAGATGGGATATCCCGCTGGGATAGCGGGAGGGATGCACCCCACGTGGCCGCCCCTCGGGGACCTGGAAGGTTCCTGCCAGGTGCTGGGAGCAGCTCCGGACAGGTCTGCAGTGTCACCACGGCCGTTTCCAAGGCCAGGGGCACCAGATGGGGCTGGAGCAGCTTCCTCTGCTTACGCCGTGATGGAGGAAAACTGTGATCTCCAGAGCCGTGTGTGTAGGAGAGCTCAGCATACGGCCCAGCAGCAGGCCGGGGCTGCCGCCGCCTCCTCCGAGCCTGCTCCTCTCCAGCTGCTGCCTGGCAAAGCCGCAGCCCCATCTCATCCGTGGCAGGCTGTGGATCTCCAGGTGCTCCCGAGTGTCCCCACGTGGCCCAGGCTGGATGTGACYGGCCACCAACCTCACAGGTGCTGCTTCACCTGTGAAAACACTTGAAGCACCAGTGACCTTGGCGTGAAGCCTGTGACGAGGCCTCCAGAGCCCCCACCCCAATGCACGGGAGGATGCGGGACCTCAAGGGGCAGCGACCAACTCCAGGTCGCAGTCGGAGCCACCAGAGCATCACCAAGGCCACAGGAGCAAGACGAGCCACACGAGCAGCACAACCTCCATGGCCAGCTCCGTGTCCCCAGGGGGCTGCGAGCAGCCACCGCTCCCGGCATCGCCTGCGAGGTGGCCATGGAGTCACATCCCAGCTCGGCGGCTGGAGCCCAGCTCTGAGGAGCCAGGGCAGGAAGCTGCTGCTGCCTCCCACACTCCCACATCCCTTCTTCCCCCTTGGTGTCGGACAAAAGGCTGCAAAGGAAGTGAGAAAAGAGATTACGTGGATGCTAAAAGGCGGATAACGAATGTGGGATGAGAGCCGGGAAAGGCAATGGTGATGGTGGTGGGGGGGCACATGGTCCTGGCGAGGGGGAATGTCACYGCCGGCGCTGGGGATGACAAACCAGATCCCTCCCGCGCCCTCCACCAGCACCTTCGTGCCCCGGGTTGGGGCTCTGCCCCTGGGGACAAGCGGCCGCGTCACCCCAGAGCTCGGGGGCCGGGCCCTGCAGCTGAACCAGGGCGGTGCTGGGGGGCACAGCCCCGCTCCGCTCCATCCCAGCGGCAGCCCGGATCTGTCCCTGGGGAGGGTCCGTGGCCTCCCGYGCACACAGGGCGCAGGACGGGCTCGTGGGGCACGGCGCGGGTCCCGCTGCCCCCGCGCGCCCGTCTGCGTCGCTCCCCGCGCTGCCCACGGGCAGCAGCATGCCGGCGGGAACCAGGCCACATCGCAGCGTGGGCCTCTTGCCTATTTTCCCAGGCGCTTTTCACAGGAGCTGTCACATGAGGCGTTTGAGCCCCGGCAAAGGCAGGGATAGAGCCACTGCCTTGCCGGGGACGGGGCACGTTCCTGCCTCCATCCCTCCTCGCCTCTCATCTCGGAGCGGGCAGCGGACACCGGCTCTCCGCAGAGCCGGACACAAAGGAAAAGCGGCTCCGAGCTCTCCCAAAATAGAAATACCTGCTCCCTGCGCACGGACCTACCCAACGGATGTTCTTCTGCATCGCCTTTCATCTGGGATCTCAAAGCACGGGCYGCAGAGCCAGCAGCAACAACAGCAAGCAGGGGTGGACCCCAGGGCCCTCTATAAAACCCAGCTCGGGCCCATTGGAGAAGCCCAAAAGCAGCACAGAGGGAAGAGGGCTGGAAATGCTGCTCTGCAGAGGCCCCTGGCTCTGCAGTGAGTCCAGCAGCCCTCATCCKAGCAGAGGGCTCTGGATGGGGCAGCAGGAGGGTGCCCCGTGAAGGTGGATGAGGCACCAGGGGACACCAGAGCCAGGGTGGCTCTGCAGCCATCATATTCCTTAGACAACCCCCAAAGAAAGGGAGAAACTGAGCCTGGGTGGAGGGACTGGAGCTTAAATGGGGCCCCGGCCCACAGGTGATGGGGGTCCCAGGTGAGACTGGTTAGGGCYGTTGAGGCCATTTAACTCAATCAGGTCCTTAAGTATGGAATATGTAGGACAGGGATAGTGTGGCCTGGGTTGGGTTGTGCAGGGGAGAGGAGATCCAACCAKGGCTCTGGGAGGGACTGCCCAGGCCCTTGTGGTGAATTGTAAGAGTCCTTTTGGTGACCAGGTTAAGGTCCCCACAGGGGATGGGCATCCCTGGCTGCCCTTATCCCAAAGTGTCCCTAGGACTGTGCTCAGCCCCCACCAGCTCCTGGGGAAATGCCAACCCGTGGGGCGAGTAGCCTGCCGGGATGCCCCCCTTCTGTGGGGGCCATGTGTGGGAGCCCCTGCCCACCCACACAGGCGCCCACCCACGCTGCAGTCCCCAAAATGCATGCACACACACAGCCATATGTGCATAAACATGTGTATGTATATGTGCACAAGCACCATGCACCAACATACGTGCACAGCCACCCACACGGGAGGCTGGGGAGGGTGGTGGGGAGCACAGGGCTGGGGCAGGACGACCCCCTGCACGGGGGCCCCGGGGCTAGTGCAGGCACCGCACAGATGGCAGATCTGGGGGTGCAGAGCCCTGGGGGCTGGGGCTGGCTGGGGTTCAGGGCTGGGACCTGACCTGGGGGTGCTGCCCCCCCGTTATGGGTCCC